AAGTTTGTGAAGATGCTTAAGGAGGAGTTAAGTGGCATTCACACAGAAGTGATCAAGCTGATACAGTATGCTTGGAGTTTCAAACAGCATTCGAAATCAAGCTTCAAGTCATAAAAGGAAAAGTCCTCTTGTTAATTAATGTCAAGTTAAGTGAAAGGAAGCAGGAGATAAAACATGGGGTCAATTCTCACACTGGTGAGATAAGATCCCCAAGGAATCTATACTGGAACATTCCCGATTTGCAGAAATAGGCCAACACCTTTGTGTAGGTGACAAACTTCACCCTCCTACTATTCAAGATTGCTAAATGAAGAATTATTTTTTTGTATTTGTGGAATTTAAATATTCTTTACGGAGGGAGACTTCTACAAGAGAGGGAGAGACAGATAAAAATAGCTACAGCTAAATTCTGAAGAATGCCTTAGCAAGGTATGAAGTCAGAATGTTATGTGGTCAGCCTGGCAAAGGCAGCTCTAGATCAATAGCATCTGCATCATTATATCATGTCTGCTCCTCATTAATAAGACAGCACTACCCTCACTGACGGATGGTTGTTTTAAGTGGGCAATGATTAGGTCTGAAGTCAGACAGGAGGCCAAGTGAAGTTGAATAGTGGCACTGTAACTCCTATTCTAAATGCAGATATAAACTAGGTGATATTTCATCACTTTTTTTTTTTTCTTTTCTTTTTTACTTCTAATTAACAGTTGGTAGAAAGCAACAGATGAAACTCAAAGTCCAACATTTATCACCATGAAGAACAGTTTGTTGTGTTTTCTTTATTCCTTCATCCTGGTCAGGATAAATTTGTGTTCCTTCAAACAGGATATAGTGCCAGAATAAAAACCTAAAATCTGTCACATTTCTGCTTCATGCCATGGAGAGAAATGGCAATATGAACATCATTATCAACTTTATTTTGTCTTCCTCCAGTGAAGATGACTATCTTTAGTCCTAGAAAAGAGAAGGTTATATTATGCAGGAAGAACATCTGCTGAATCTAAAATATTTTAACTCTAAGGAAAAAAAACCCTTACTCATCCCATTCAAAAAAAAGGAAAAGCTTCAAAGGAATCTGGGAACTTACCAGCTGGATCTGAAACTCACGTGCTGCTTATTCACTTGAGAGAATTTTGGATTTACTTTTTTGCTACTCATACAAACAGCAATTATTAAAAGTTTCTTCTATTTCTGCCTATGCAATGCATTCCCTGACTGTGGAACAAAGCTTCAGGCAAGACAGTCTCCTTATTATACAGCTTCAGCAGTACCTATAAGAACCAGATATCAGTAACCCCGAAGAGTTAGTCAGATCAATATTTAGGCTTGTATAATCTCTACAAGCAGTGCCATATAGTTACCACTACAAGCAGTGCCTTACACTTTCAGCACTAGTATCAGTTATTCCCAGCAGTGAAGATTGCAATGCTCAGAAAGAATGTCATCTCCATGAATTACAAGAAAGGTCTTAGCTGCTGTTTCCTCCTCCAAAAGTTAACAAATTATCTCCTTATATGATTACATTTGGAAGTGTGCTTTACAAGAGAAAAAGAATTATTTAGGTCTGCAACACAGGGGATCTCGTTGCATGCAATACTCCTGACCAAGAATTTTACATCAGACTAGTAAGTACAGCAAAGCACTTGTAAAACAAATCTCTCTCTTACTAGACATTTTCAAGTACAAAACCAAAAGGGTTGCATACCAAGTTGCTTAGAAGAGGAATCACGTGTCTACTAATGAACTCAGGTTTAATTTAAACAAAAATATCAAGAAAGTTTGCCAAAAAATCTGTCCTGTTCCTATAGGTTAAACTTTACTATATTATAGGCTTTCACAGATGCTTTTATACAAACAAACAAACAAAAATCAATACTACCAGTGCTTTAAAGGAGCCAGGTTCATTCTTAATAACCTCTTACAACCACTGACTCATGGAAAAATACCATGGAAGAATTCATATACAATATTATTAGGAGGTACTTAAAAAACAAGTAGTCCTTAAAAAGTTACTCATCTTGAAATCTATTTTTCTGGTATTTGTAGCTGTTCTACAAATCAACTTTGACATTTGACTGTAATTCTTTCTAGCTTGGGTTTAAAAAGTAATCATAAAATACAAAACCCAAAGTGACTTTGTATGACACTCTTCTAGCACTTTTACGTATTTCATATTAATTCTAGTAAGGCAGAAATTGTAGGAAGTTTAGTAGAATGCATCTCATAGCTCTATTAGCAAGTGAGCACCACACACAGTTACCAAGAGGCAAAGCATTCAATTTGTTCGTTTTTAGAATTATTCACACTGGTGCCTTTATCTAAATGAACTATTATGTGAGCAGGATGTTTTAGGAACTACTCAGTATGATAGGATATTCTTTAATCATGATTAGTTAGACTTACAAATCATTATGGAACATACAATGTGTTGCAGCTTTGGATCATTACCCATGGAAATGTAATTCACAAGTACAAACAATAATTATTTCCATCACTCCTTTTACTGAAACATAGCTTTCTTTAATTAGGATACTGATAAGTGAGCACAGCAAAGTTATGATTTTTAAATAGTTAATCTGATAAAGAATTAAATGAGCTTTTAACTAAGAAAGCTTAATCCTTCAAAGAGCCTGCATACAGGTTGTTCCACCTCCTTAGGAACACCACTAATATAATGGACTAATGGATTATTAAAGATGTATTCCCTATGGTGTCAGTCAGCCTCTGGGGCCCTCAGTCCTCTCCACACCTGTCACCAGCATCAGTGAAGGACAGACCCATGCAACACAGCTCTGTTCTCAGAAGGGCTGCATCCCACGATTCCCACAGGCAGCAGCTGGCTATTGCTTCAGCATCTTGGATTTAGAAGACAAATGGGGGAGTTTCCCCAAATCTGATAAAGGCAGATCATGCTGAGTTGCACTCTAAGCCACTAGGACAACTGTTTAGTTTAGAAACTTTGTTCAGTCTCAGACAGCAGATGTCTACCAAAGAGTATGAAAACCAGCGGCAAGCATGGACAGTGTCTTTCCCAAGCTTGCAAGAGCTCAGGATCCTCCTTAATCATACATATCACCTTTGTGTTTAGGAACACATTTTACTTTCATTAATGAGTCTGTCCATTTTTAGAATGGACATTAGCATCCAGTATCACCAATATTCTACTGCAAAGAGCTCCACATAATTATCCATTGTGTGAAACACCTTCCTTTGTTTTAAATGTTTCCTCATTTCATTTGTGCAAGAGTTTTTGAACACCAGTGTTGCTATCAATCTAGTCCAAGAGGTGGTAGTAAAACTGCCTCTCTAAAGATGAAGGAATGGTTGAGAAGCAATGACTAGGTGTTATTTAGGAGAAACTATATGCACTGATTGAAAGTGAGACTGCATATTAACAGACACAATAGAAATCATCAACATATATATGAAATCAACAGCACCAATGACAAATGGTTCAGACATTTCTTGGCAGACAACTGCCACTTGATGTAAAGGCTCCTGCGCAATCCTCTACCAGCTCAACGTCTGCCAAGAAGCATCCTCTGCTTCTGTGAGAACTGGTTAATTAAAATGTAGCAATAGGTTACACTGGAAAAGTTCCTTCCTGTTTCCAAGAAGTAGATATGCAGTGAAAGATACAAGTGTTTATTAGCAGAAGGAAGAGCTTTCAATTCTAGACACCCTTGGATATGCTTACTTCTGGTTGCTAGTTATGGTAGGAGGACAAGTGATTTTCTTAAAAAGTCAGAGATGAAACATTAGGTAAAACAATATTTAGAAGATCAAGATCAAGAAGCCAGCCAAGCGTCTCTAAATTTTTTTCATTACTGTTAAGTGTGAATTTGAAATGGGTCTAAGTGCATTTTTTTTCCCCAGAAAATTAGGAGACAGTTCAAATACAAAAAAAAAAAAAAAGTGTCTTTTCAATACCACCTACAGTCAGGACAGGACCATGGGAAATAAACAGGTAAGTCTACTTAAGAAGTAAATATATCAGAGGAACACTGTCTCCTTATAACTGCCTTGTCAGGTACATGACCCATAGTACATGCTAATAGTACAGTTTTAACATTTTAATGAAACCCAACATGCACTCCATAGAATTTAAGTCAATTTAAAGTGACAGGTTCAAAACAGAGATTTACCCAGTATTTAGGAAATTTGCATATGGAAGAAAATGATACACCTTGATGTTTTTGTGGAGTTTCTACCAGTTATTGCATTGAATTTAAAGAATCCAAATGATAAATTCAACTTACCGTTAAAGAATATTAAGATGTGTTAATCCTACAATAAAATACCACTATAATCCAGAGACAGGAACAAGAATTTAAACTAGTAAGATTAAAGACTTCAAGCTGAAAATTTAAAATATCACAGTACCTATGACTAGAATAGCCTTCTCCACATATATTACAGAAATAACTGCATTTGTCAAAGTTCTTAGATGAAATTGCTTCTCCATCTTCTCCAGAAACCATGACAGGCAATAGAGATTAATGGGATATTAATGCTTTAAAGACATTCACATGCATAGGTTTACCAGTTATCTTTGCATTCTTAACATGTCTTTTCCATGGGAGTTGAAGCTTCAGCTTCAGGAAGGCAAGCAGAAATATAGGTTATAGGAATTAAAGGATATGCTCAAAAGCAATTTGTGAAGCAGGAATCTGCTGCACCAAATCTACCACTACCATGCCATAGGAACTCCATAATAACACACTCCAGCACGAAGCCTGGTAAGAATCTGCTGGGTATGGTTTCAACCCAGGAAAAAAAAAAAGAAAAATAAAAAACATTTAACACATGAAGGAATAGCTTTAAGACTATACAAAGCAACAGTAATAGAAGCAAGAAAACGCACTGGACAGATCTCTGCTGCACAAGCCATTTTCAAAGTTCTAAAGAAGTTTAAATTGGATAAATAAAATTATTAAACTAAAAGTTAACTACTTATCTAGAGGATGATATTTCAGATAAACCATTTGGCAATGTCTTACCTCTTCTCCTGAAAGATAGTAAGCTGAAAGTAGTCCACCAACAAAACGGATATTCACTTCAAATACTGAAATTTCAGCATTCTGTTGAAAGAAACAAACATAGTTTTATTCCCTGATACTTTTCAGTACAGTTTTGTTTGTTTCCTTTTTTTTTTTTTCCTTTAATACATGCCGGTATTAAGCTGCAACAGCTGTAAATGGCAAAACATAGAAAACCTAGGGAAAGCCAACAGAAGTGAACTTAAGAGCATTTTAAAGTATTTCCTTCTCTTCCTCACTTTAACAAAATATCCTCTCCATTATCCTCATCCTGTTTAACTTTTCTTCTCTTCCACCTGGACATAAGGTATTCTCTAAATCCACATATCTAAGTATTTCCTTGCAGATGATTCGGCACTCACACACAAAAAGTGTTCTCAGATCACATGCCCCACACTACACCCTCACCTCACACAATCTCTTCTCAGACACCATATGAGAAGTTCTTGATCAGAATGTTATATCAACAGTTTTCCTACTTCAGTCTAAATGCAGGTTATAGTAAAATGGGAACAAATATTAGAAAGAGTCAATCACATGTTCATGATAAAATTGTAATCATGACACGTATTCAACTAGGAAGCAGATGATTTTTCTCTATTACAGTGACTGCGCCTTTCCCAAGCTGACCTGGTCTTTCCCAATGAGGGACTAGGTTTGTCGTACTGAGCAGTATAGATCCAGCCATGACCTATCTCAAAACTCAAAGCACATTACAAAACACATTCTTCTCTGCCTTTTTAAATTCAAGCCTACATGAAGAATCTGAGTTGCATGATCACTAAATTCTCTTGTTCTTTACCAGGTCAATTCTAGTTCTACCCCAACACACAACATTCAACCCACTCAAGAGGCATTCAGTTGAAAAGCTGATCTACTAAAGTTTCATAATTTTGCCTTTTTATATTTTTGTATTTCTGTAAAAATATGGTACCAGCAGTCAATCTTCTAAACTTCTGGGCATGTAAAGAAGGTGTTTGATTTTCATGTGTTCTGGGTTGCTCTTGTTTCTATTGAGTTGTTTTTCCATCTTCTATTTGCTGACATACACTATAGCTATATTTAATATAAATCAATGCATGGTGGAGCTGAGTGATTTTCTTCCAAGGGCTTGCAGGCTTTTCTTATTCAGCTAGCTTTTGTACTTTTCCAGTTTAAACATTCAGATGTGAGTTTATGTAGGAGGGAAGAAACGGTTCCCTGTTTTCTACAGACTTTAAATTTCAGTAAACTGCCTTTGCAGAAGAAAACAGCACTAGGTTACTTATTAGAGATATTACTTCATGCTTTTCAGTTTGCAAGGCACTCTGATTAAGGAAAGGTATCTAGACATATTGCAGAGATCTGTTCAGTGTTTCATCAGTTGTAAAGGTACAGACTTCAAGAAACACTCACAGACTTGCTACAATGCTTGTTTACTTACGTTCAGGCATTTAATTTTTCTCCTCTAAAATCTATTCTGCACATCCCCCTATAAAAATTGAGGATATAATTTCATTCACAGAATTGCTCTGATTAATATATAATTCATATAGTATATATGTGTGTGCCTGTGTAGTTTTTTATACACACAAGCATAATTCAAAGGGGCAGACAAAGTAAAGCCATCACACACATCTGCCTATTGAAAACTCAGACCTGGCATCACATGTTAAGACTGCAAACTGAAAAAGCTATCTTGCTGTCTCGCACTGTTCAGAACATAACATTTTTCCAAGTTTATTTTAAGTGTACTAAAACTCTGCAATTTCTCCTCACTCACTGCTCTCCCAATACTGGTCTACACTTATTGTTTGTAAAAGAAACTACAAAGGGAAAAAAAAAAAAAAAGAGGCTTAGTTTCTATTTCCAAAATTATTCTGATATTTCTGTCTTCAAGTGTTCAGTCATTGTGTCACTGAATCCAGCAAGGAAAATGAATTAACTGGAAACAGGTATTTACTTCAGCTTTGACCACTGCCATTTTTGTGCATTTCTCTTTATTATACCGTGATACATGGTAAACCTGGGGAGATGGATATAAAAACATTTAAATCCCCTAGAAATCTGAACTAACTAGACAATACAACTGCTAAGCAGGCTACCTATGTAAGAATTCTATATTAAGTAGTCTACCTTAACTAAATCCAGTGCATGAAACAGCTTGTGGAGAACTGATCTGACTTAAGAAAGGCTGATCTGATATGACTGAAGAAAGAATGATTAAAGGTGTAATAGGGGCAGATGCTTTTCCCTGGAGCTTGAGCTAGCTGAAACTCCCATAAATAGTATTTTACTTGAGAACTTTCTTCAGAAGTTCAGGTTCTTTCAATTTCAATCTTGAGCCTCAGCACACACTAAGAACTTTTCTTTCATGTGGGAAAGTTGAAGCTGTAAAGAGGTAGGTATCAGACAGGGAAATGAGTTAATCGGATATCCCAGACTTTTGTGTTTCCTGTAAAGGTTGAACTTCTTGATTTTGAATTGCTTGAAGCAAAGTGAGTAATATATGAAATGAATATCTTGTCTCCAGAACTTTACATTTTGCTTTTCTAGATTTAATATGGCCACTTAACTCACAGACCATTGCTATCTTTCAAGGAATGCAAAGGCCCTTTAAGAAAAGCTTAATGTATGCACTGACATCGGCTTCTGGAAATCAGTTATGAACAAAAAGAAGACTTTGAAGGAATGTGAATAAAGATTTTACTTTCAAACCACAAAGATTAATTGCACTGTAATCCTGAATATTTGCGGAAGTGGTGATCTTTCAGGACATTTCTTGAGGCTAACCATTGTTTTAATGTAATCAGACTTCTAATACTTCACTTGCACACATCTCTGAACCTTTGATAGAAAACCTCATCTCTTACCAAAATCTTTATACAAGTCACTGGAGCAGAAACAATTAATGAAATGGCCAGACATTTCATTAATGGTAGATTTGAAAGCTGTATGCTTAATACATAGTTATTCTTAAACTCATTATACCAGGCTAGTAGTATTCTCAGAAAGAACAGGAATTATAGCAATTGGCAAAACAATAAAGAAGTTTTATAATTTCATGTCAAAGAAACATTCATGTCTATGTGGAAAGTTCTTGTGAAGAAGTAGCCTGTTAAGAAAAGTGAACTTGTCCTCAAAGTAGCAGATTTCTTCTACACCAACTTTACCCTTCTTTCTTTTTTCTTAAAAATTTTAAAAATTTTTGGTATTCCACATTTAAGATGTCACACCCTGATCATTACCGTCTTTTTGTATTTTTAATCATCATCCACATACAGTTTGCATAAATAAGTCTGTGTTTTTCTACTTAGCAGTCAAATCCTAAGTAAGCAATGTTATTTTTTATTTTGCTCAGATCCAGCTGTACACAAATACATTATGATCCATTTAACAGTGCCACAATACATAGGAAAGACCTTCATCTGCACTTCCCAAAGTTTCTGCTTCACCAGCTGAAGAGCCAAAATTATTTTCTTTATTATTTCAGGTTTAGCCTTCTCTTTCAAATCATCATTGTATCATTACATAGAAGGTCTGAGAAAGGGCTGAATTAATTGTATTACATCTAATGGAACTTTTGCAAGGAAATGTGACTGGATGTGCTCATTTTAAAGTTACTGTGATGTTCCTTTTGTAAGATTGTAAGTTTATAAGATTGCTCTGACCAACTAGATAGATATAATTTCTAATTTTACAGTCTTTTCATTAGTACTCCAATTAGGCTGTGTAGCCACATGCACATGTTTCAGACAATATCTGAAACACCTTTGTTAGTATGCATCTGTGCTAAGCTCTTACTGTTCCTATGCAATATCATCTTGCTCTGGCTGCTAATGTTGGAGGCCTCCCTTTTATAATGGATTCTGAAAGCATGTAGATGCTTGTGAAAGTGATATGTATATTGGGAACAATGTATTTTTGTTTTACTTCCAGAGCTTTTATGTTGATTGAAGTATGTGAGTAATTTGGTCTTTCATCTTACATTTGATCAATAATTTATTATTCACTATTTGCTTTTCTGATAAGTGAATCATAAATGGGATAGTTCAAGTACTGTATGAAATCCAGAGAAATTGTGACTGCTGCTCACTGTACTTAGAGAAATAGAAAACCAAAAGCAATATATGTATCTATTACATGGTACAAGAGCAAAACTGACAACTCTATGGAATTTCACCTAGTTTCCTTGATCAGCTTCTAAAGACAAAAATTGTTTTGACGGAGAGGTGTAACATCCTTTACATTGCTGGCTAGACACATACACCAAAGTGAACCTATTTACATATGGTGGAGACTACTCTTTCTCAAACTCAGGCTATGCAAATAATCAAGTCTCTACAATCAAAGGCTGAAAGAGTTAAGTGTTACCACATTTTGTCTTGACAAGAAGAGATGCTAAAATAAGGGTTTTTTTAAGCAAGAGAATAATCATAGCTCAGAAACACTCAAGAAGATGCAGAATGTGACAGGTTTAACTAGTAAACCTATTAAACTAAATCATTTTAAAGAAAGGGACCTTAGAGGCCCCATCTTCAAAAAGCAACAAATACTAACAAAAGGGGCGGGGGGGAGGGAGGGAAATGAAGCACCAAGAGTTAAGTTACATTAGCTAGTTTGTGTTATTCTGCATTTATTTATGCTTTATTTGCAAGACGATGACAAGGTCAATCTGATCTCAGCTGCACCTCACCACTCACTTTCCTCACCCTTCTGTAAACCAGAGGATTAAGTCTACAACTGGTAAACTACTGGTTTAATTTAATGTTGAAAGCACTGCTCAGACAACACAACTACTGTCAGCTGGGCTTCCCTGAAGCCCTTCTCCTATTGAAACTCCTCCAGATTCCCAAAAATCAGTATTCACATCCTTCTGGATCATTTCCTTAATGCATTCCCCTCCTGAAAGTCTTCCTCTCCACAAATCTGTAGACCAATGCCAAAACTATTTTGGTCTAAGTTTTCTCAGGGGAAGTCACCCTCACTGATAAACACAGCATTTGAAACACAACCCAATTTTATTTATCTAGTATCAGCTTCCACCTGGCACTCATCAGCAT